CAGAGTCTCGCTCTGTCGTCCAGTCTGGAGTGCAGTGGCGCGATCTTGGCTCACTGCAAGTTCCACCTCCCAGGTTCACGCCATTCTCCCACCTCAGCCTCCTGAGCAGCTGGGACTACAGGCCCCCGCCACCACGCGCAGCTAATTTTTTTGTATTTTTAGGAGACAGGGTTTCACTGTGTTAGCCAGGATAGTCTCGATCTCCTGACCTCGTGATCTGCCCGCCTCGGCTTCCCAAAGTGCTGGGATTACAGGCATGAGCCACTGCGACTGGCCAACCTATTCTAGAATTTTGTCACAGATCAATCAGTACTAACCTTATGTGTTTATAATTTTTACAACCCACCCTTTCCTCTTCATTGAAAGGCAGGACTTTTGTCCATTTGCGGTCTGTTCACTACTCCTGCTCGCAGTGGGATGAGGGATATGGAGCTGGCATGGTGGGGAGCAAGGGGCACATCCGGAAGATGACACTATCACCTCCAAGACCCCACATCTCATGAGATTGAGTGGGAAATCACTGAGGATGTGGAAGGAGGGGAAATGACCCCAGAGAAGTCAGAAGACCTGGGTTGTGCACATCCCTTAGACCAAAGGTTCCAAGGGTGCGCAGGCCTCAGGAAGGCAGGAGCTCCACTTGTTAAGAGTCGGGTGTTTCTGGAAATGACTCAAGAGACTATGCCCAAACCCTAAGGAAACAGAACCAGTAGTGGTGACCGGTGACATTTTATTCAAGAGAAGTCAAAACCCAGGCCCAGCCAGCTGAATAGCAGGGGACTCCCCAAAAGAGGAGAATGGGAAGAGGAAGACGGAGAAAAAACACCCATTCTGTCCCATTTCCCTTGCACCCTATCCCCTAAGGGTTAACCCCCCACTCCCCTCCTCCCCAGCCCAAACCCCATCTCCCTTTAATCACATCTGATACTGAGCAGCCCAGCAGGGAACAAAGAGACTATTTAGAGAAATGGGGCCGAGAAAGTGACCCCCGCACTCTGGGGCGGCTGCCTGGATGCCAGCACAAAGGCGGCATTTCAGAGCTGAAATTTCAGCACCCAACTTGATTAAAGGATTCCACAGGCTTGGAGGAGGATGGATGGGGGTGTGAAGTCCACTGCTCCCTGAATTAACCCTTCTCCAGGGCAGCAGACACCCCTCCCACCAGTGCAGATGCTCACCATTCACTCCCCACACCCCATCCTGGGACCAGGCTGCACCCAGGCCTGGAGGCCCTGCCTCCTGCAGAGGTTAGGGAAGCCCAGCTCCTCCTCTTAGAAGGGGAGCTGGCAGTGGAATGGAGGTCAAGGCTGGCATATTCAGGAAGCCAGTTTTCCCTCTATTCCTGTTCATGTCAATATACACCCTCCCCCTGACCCCCTAGGAGGGAGGAGCCAGTGTGACTGGTCTTACCTCAGGTTGGGTAAGCAGGATGGAGAAAGGAAGAGGACCCATTAGAACCTCAGGCAGAGGAAGCGGGAGCTCCAGCTCTGACTTAATGTAACCCAGAAGCACCACCACCCCAGTACCATCCCTGCAAGGCCTCAGAGGATCACCAGCCCCAAACAGGAAGGAAAGGATATCTTATAGGGGCTGGGAAGATGGCATGGGTGTGGCACACCAAAGAGGTGGGCCACAGAGGACAGCGTGTGGGCAGAGTCCTGAGGAGGAGTGGGGACAGAGGCGTGGGGGCAGGGGTAGGCAGGTGCTTGGTCCTTGCTTCAGCTGCTGACTTGCCCAGCAGGGCTCTGCCTGGGGACGGTGGGAGATCAGCACACCCCCATGCTTCCTGCTGGGGCACTGCTCCTGAAAGGGGATCCGAGCCCACGATAAGAGGCTCGAAGCAGGTCCTTAGGAAACAATGGGTGGCTTGATGAGACCTGCTCTGTGATACTCCTGAGAAGGGAGAAGCCCCTGCAGCCAGTCCCCACTGGAAAGGAAATTGGGGGTTTCCGTGGCAACCAGCTCCCTGGGCACAAAGACTCGTCTGTCTGCTGGGAAGGCAGCTGAGGTGTCTCCCCTGCAGCAGCCTTTGCTCTGGGGAACAGGGAGATGGAGGGAAGGATGTGGGGGATCCAAAGGGGCTAAGGGCCTCTGGTGCTTCTTAAGGAGCTGACAGTCACAGGACCACTGGAATAGGTGTATGCTCCAGGCAGCATGGCGGTAACAGGGAAGCAAAAGGTGGTGACATCGCAGATAAGCAGAGGGGAAGGGGGTTGGAAAGCTGAATATTTTATTTACACATATAAAGTGGGAATGAAAATTGGGCAAGGGCAGGAAGATGACTCCAGCTCAGTCGGTGATGATGAGCTCGTCCACCCCCCAGTCTTCATAGCTCCCATCTGGCAGGTAACGGCGAATGATGATGGGGATCTTTCGGGCCCTGTGGCAGGGGAAAAGTCACAAGTACATGAGGGCTGGTGACCCCAGCTCTGCCGCAGAAGGAACAGATTGTGTGCAAAACACAAGGAAAGAGAAGTCTTAGGAGCAGCCTCTTGGGGCTGATGAGTGTACTTTGTAAGAAAGCAATTACAAGAAAAAGAAAGTTTTTATATCAGACAAGAGGGGGAAGAGTGATAGAATATTGGTAAGGCCTCCTGCAGCAGGAACAGGGAAACTCCAACAGCCAGAAAAGGTCCCGGTCTCATCAGTGCCCTCCCCCCTTTCCCTGCCTCCTCTTCTCTCTTCCTCCTACCTCCTGGTGAGCTGTTCCTAATGATCTGTAGGAATAAGCATCAACTTCTTCAGCCAGGGAAGTGGCAGAAAAGGGTGCAACAGAGAACCCAACAGATGCCTCCCAGAGATTTGGAGAAGTGAACCATGATTTGAGTGACTTACTTGAGTTCCTTCATGGCAATGAGCAGAGGATCTGTCTCCCCCTCCAGCTCTACCATCACAGGGGCACACATCCTGTAGGGATACGCACAGGTGTTGGGGAGACTACAAACCCAGGGAGAAGGGCCTAACAGGCAGTGAAGGTGGAACCGCATCCTGGTCCCCACCTAGAAACATCATCTTCTAGGTAGATAGGCATAGTAGGGAGTGGTGTGTAGGGGCACTGCCAGAGATCTTCCCTGGCAGAGGCCTATCGCAGACTCCTGAGCCCAGCGGCCACAGCAGAGTGTCCTGGTGGAAAGGGTGGCGTGTGCAAAGGCACACCATTCTAACTGCTCCAACCCCAGAGCCTTGCCTCAGTGCCCAGAGCCCCTCATTTCAATTTCTATTTTCTCTCTCTCTCTATTTTTTGGAGAGAAAGTTTCACTCCCATTGCCCAGACTGGAGTGCAATGGCAAGATCTCGACTCACTGCAACCTCCACCTCCCAGGTCCAAACAATTCTCCTGCCGCCTCCCAAGCAGCTGGGACTATAGGCACACACCACCAGCTATGCTAATTTTTTGTATAGATGGGGTTTCACCATGTTGCCTAGGCTGGTCTCAAACTCCTGGGCTCAAGCAATCCGCCTGCCTCAGCCTTCCAAATTGCTGGGATGAAACCCAGCCTCATTTCCATTCTCTATAGCCACAACACCTCAGTAGAAGCCCTGCCCTTCCTGCCCAGCCCTCCCTACCCTTCACCTGAGGCCAGCAGGCAGTCCAGGGACTCATCTGCTTACAACACTGCCATGACTCCCCTTGGCTATCAGGCCAGAGTGCAGTCTGGTCCCTGTTCGCCTTCCTAGCACAGTCCCGTGCTACTTTCCTGTATTTACCCCACATTCCAGCCATACCAAACTATTTCTGGTTCCCTAGACGCGCCATGTTGTTTCCCTTTTGTGTGCTCTTACAAGCTCTTCATCTCCCTAAAAGCCTGCGAGAGGTCCGGATGTCTCCATCCTGGAAATCGTGTGCTGACTCTTCAGTACCCCAAGTCACTCAGGATATACTTTTCTTGGCACCAATCTCACTGAACTGTAACTACTTGTTTGGAAAGTTTCCACATTAGACCATGAGCTCCTGGTGGCCCAGAACCACATGTGATTCACCACAGAGGTCTAGCCCCCAGCACAACACTTGGCCCACAGTGGAGACTACCACCAAGCAAAGGGATGCCAATTCTAGGCC